GAGGCTGAGGCTGATGCAGGCTGAGGCTGAGGCAGGCTGAGGCTGAGGCTGAGGCTGAGGCTGATGCAGGCTGAGGCTGAGGCAGGCTGAGGCTGAGGCGGAGGCTGAAGGCAGACTGAGGCTGAGGCTGAAGCAGGCTGAGGCTGAGGCTGAGGCAGGCTGAGGCTGAGGCTGAGGCTGAGGCTGAGGCAGGCTGAGGCTGAGGCAGGCTGAGGCTGAGCAGGCTGAGGCCAGAGGCTGAGGCAGGCTGAAGGCAGACTGAGGCTGAGGCTGAAGCAGGCTGAGGCTGAGGCTGAGGCAGGCTGAGGCTGAGGCTGAGGCAGGCTGAGGCTGAGGCTGAGGCTGATGCAGGCTGAGGCTGAGGCAGGCTGAGGCTGAGGCCGAGGCTGAAGGCAGACTGAGGCTGAGGCTGAAGCAGGCTGAGGCTGAGGCTGAGGCAGGCTGAGGCTGAGGCTGAGGCAGGCTGATGCTGAGGCAGGCTGAGGCTGAGGCTGAGGCTGATGCAGGCTGAGGCTGAGGCAGGCTGAGGCTGAGGCCGAGGCTGAAGGCAGACTGAGGCTGAGGCTGAAGCAGGCTGAGGCTGAGGCTGAGGCAGGCTGAGGCTGAGGCAGGCTGAGGCTGAGGCTGAGGCAGGCTGAGGCTGAGGCTGTGACTGCGACTGCCGTTGCCACTGCGACTGTCATCGCGAATGCGACTACGACTGCGAGAACAGCAGAATTCTACAACTGGATTCTCATCCGAATCTTAAGGGGAATGCTTCCAGATATGCTCCTACACATCGATGTTAGGTTGCTTTGCCGGGATAATTTTTGGGGATAAATGATTTGGGGTTTCTGTAGGTTTTCTTGACGCCCTCTTGGGGCGGAGGTCTCTTGGGCCATCTTGTGGCTATCTCAGGCCGTCTTGGGTGCATCTGGGGCCGTCTTGGGAACATTTTGGGGCCATCCAGGGGCCTGTTGCTGTTGGGACCATCTGACCCCTCTTGGAGGCCACCTTGGCCATCTTGGATAGCATTTTGGGACCGTCTGTAGCAGGAGAACGGACGGACTGCACATTGTCCGTGGCTCTCTCGGAGGCCTGGAGGTTGGTGGGAATTGTTAAAAAGGATTCAGCAGTGAACACACCCTTTTGATAAATCAACAACGTGCGGCGGGTGACGGAAAGCTCGCATAACGTGCGATCCGTCAGCGGGAAGACATGGCTATAGGGGGGAATTTGAGGGGGCTGGCAGGCGGAGGCAGCTATCCATTTGCCTCTGGCCCATCCCGCCACCATGCCTGGGCCGTTGACAAGAGGCCAGATGCCTGTCAGTGGTCTCTTGGCATGTCTCTCGGGTGCATCCTGGTGGGCTGTTGGGGGCATTGGGGGTCTGTTGGGGATCTCGTGGGGCCCCGTAGGGGGCCTCTCGGAGGCCTCTTGAAGGCCCCTTTGGGGCGTATGGGGGCCTCTTGGGGGTCGCGTCGGGGCCGGCTGGCGGTCTCGGGTGCCATCTTGATCCGAAGGACACGACGTGCCAGCTCGTGTGTTCCCTCTTGCGGCCTCTTCGTCCGTCGTGGTGACCTTTCGGGCCGTCTTGGGGCCCTCGCGGGCCGCTTCGGGCCCGCTCTGGCAGCGTGGGTCGTCTTTGGGCGATCTAGAAGGCGCGCTGAAAGACCGAGTGATTGTCACATCTTGGAGGGTCCTGTTTGGGCCGTCTTGGATGACTCTTGGGCCATCTTGAGGCCATTTTGGGTTGAGTTCAGGCCATCCTGGACCGTCTTGGGAGCCTCTTGGACCGTTCTGGGGGCCTCTTTGCACCCTCGGTCCTCAGGAGAAGTTATGTGACAAGCGCCAAGAGTCACGCGGGAAGTGCCCGAGAGTGCCCTGAATTCCGATATGTGGGCCTCTTCAAGGACCTTCACGGGCTCAGTATCAGGGATTTGAGGGATTTGAGGTCATTCCGCTTCGTGCCCAGGCGTTAAGCCGGTGCTGGATTGTCTCCTCGCGTATCCCAAACGATGCCCGGGCGAATTGCAGAGACCAGGGATCGGGAGCCTCGAGACGGGGGTCAACGCAAACGGGGGTCAGCCAGGGCACCAGATCCTGCAGGATCCTGCGAAGACCCCCTCTGGCTGACCCGGGTTAGGGAGCCGCTCGTGGCCGCGAGGCGGCCGCACATATTGGCTGACCCGGGTTTGCGAAGACCTGCGTTGCAGTTTTTTTTCCTGCATTGCAGTTTTTGGTTTCCTGCTGACCCGGGTCTGGATTGACCCGGGTCAGAAGATCCCCGAAGGGAAGAGGGAGCATGCAGTGGAACAACGAGGGATGGGTAGCAGTCAAGCCGACGATCGAGATCACATTCAGCAATCCCAGGAGGCAACCTTCAATGCAGTGAATATGGGCGCCTGTTGGCATCGTTTTTGTGCCATATAGGGGCCATCTTGAATGCCTTTAGGGCTCCACTGGTGCCGTCGTGGGGATCTCTTGGAGCCTTTCTCTGATGCCTTTTGGGCGCTCGTGTGGGAACATGGTATTTGTGTCTCCAGACGTCTTGCGGTATGTTTCTGTTGGAGTGTTTTCCTTCGGGGTAGCCTGCTGCTGGCGGGGTAGTCTCTCAGCCTGCAAGACGACCACGACGACAGGAGCCAAACATAGAAAGCGTGAACATTGGTTTCCGCTTTGGTGTATTATTGGAGCCCTTTCAAACACATGGTGGAGGCTTGTAGGTCTCTCCTGGTGCCCTCTGGGGGCTCTTGGGGCCGTCCTGAAGATTCATCGGTCAGAAACGGAAGCGGACTCAATTGCTCGTGGGGCCTCTTTGGAGCCCTTCATGGCCCGTCTCCTCTTGGTTGGGGCTTACTAGGGTCATCGTAGATCGTAGAGTCACTCTAGTAGAGTCATCTGTAGGCGTCCAAAACTCATGAAGAGCGAACGTGTGAGAACATACAATTATTGAAACGTTCGGGTCTGGATGTTCGCCTCTCGGGGGCGTCCTCAAACGGCTCCGTGGCCACTCGGAGACGTTATGGGGCGGTTTTTGGACTTTCTGGAGGCATGTTGGAAGCTACATCGGGCCCATCTAGGACTCCAGGACTATATGACATCGGGGAGGACATCTGGGTCTACACTGGGCTATCTTGAGCTACCTTGTGCGCTCTAGCCCGTCGTGGCGCTCCCCCTGGGGAGGGGCAATTGCCTCCCCCGTAACCTCCGTTGTTGGTGTAGATGCCATAGCGGGCTTAGTGAGCGTCCCCCCAGGCAGTTTTTGCCAGGTGTGGGCTGGACCAGAGCGCTGTTCAGGGCATCATCGTGCCGCAGTTTCACTTGTTTCTCCCGCTTCTGTCGTGATCTCATTCTGAAGGCCACTGGGAGCTGATCGCGATTCCAGAAGTTTGAAACCAGTTTTGTCTTGCTCATTGATATGGTGTGCTTCGTTCGGAATGGAGAACGAAACAAATACGCCAAACCTCACTTTGTCGAGTCCCGTGATCCGCAGCCCAGTTTTGCGAAATATGGGTTGTGGTACCAGCGTAGTTTTCAGCTTCCCTTAAAGGTGGGCGGCGTCGAGATCTTGGAGGCGGTCATCCGAGAGGCAAATACTAAGGCTGCTTTATCTCGCGCTTGTTTGAAGCAGCGTGCATGCAATATGATCGCTAGTGCGCTTGCGCATGTGCTTGCATCTGCACACGGTGCCCCGCGACAGGGAACGGGCTGGGTGACGAGATACGCATGATGCAAATACACGGATAGGTAGATACGTATGTACATACTCTGAGGGCTCGTTTCGCTTCGCCTCAAATCTCGGTCGTGCGTCCAGATGCTGCCGGGGGGGGGCGCCGAAGGCGTCACCAGTGCGAAAGGGCCATGGCCAGGAGGGGAGTGTGAGCGTTGGCGCGATGGGACCCATCGGCAAGTTCATGCCATGGGGGGGTACCATGGTAAACAATTGCCCCACGTGGGGCGACGGCCATGGCGTCGATATGGTGGACGCCATGGCCGCGCGCAAGGTGCAAGTCGTGGAAGCGAGGCCTGGGTAGTGGCCACGAGATGATGGCTGGGAACACGCCGATGAGGTGACCGCGAGGTGAATACAAACCATGATGCGACACGGGCTCCAGTCCTGACTTTCACGCAGGTTCAGAGCATTGCCGTTGCATGGGGCTGAAATAGAGGACTCGGGAGGGTGTCGCTGGCAATGAAGAAAAGGCAAATGGGGTCATGGAAGTGAGCATGCGAGGGGCGAGTGTGGTAACCATGAGACGGCTAGTGGTAAGGATCGAGGGGGGGGGTGGGCCTGCGTAAACGCCGCTACAAAGCCCCATGACCTCGAGAGGGGATCGGGGCAACGTCGAATCAGCTGCGCACGGGTTGTCGCAGAAACGGTTGTCCAGGCAAACCGAGTGATACTTACACAAAGAAGGAACGTGTACAAACCTTCGACGATTCGCGGATGTTGGGCTCTGGTCCCCATGTCTTCGACGCCCCACCAGAGAATAGTTTTTCATCCCAATTTTCGAGCTCCCGAGATCGGCTTGCCGTCCCAAATCGCTGTTGGGCGGACTTGGGACAAGAGACGGCCTTCGGACACCGAAATTCACGGGGGCCGTCGCCGGGGTCGCCACGGCACGGGGAGGGGGGGGCAAGGAGACGGCCCCGATAATCGCGAAGTGGGTCAATGTCGTGGTTTCGACAGGCTGTTCCCACATATGGGGTAACGTCTGTTCGGGAAGGGCGGGGGTCGCTAGCTAGGAGGGGGCGACGCGAATGGCCACCGGAGGCGCGAACGTCATCGCCTGAAGACAGGATTGCGACACCGACCGTCGAGGGAGGCACTGAGGAGCGAGCGGGCGAAAGGGCCCGCAATGCGCGATGTTTCTGGCGGTCGCGCCATCGGCACCCGCCCGATGAACGGCCTTGGGTGTCTGTCCTTGTCATGGGCGCCCAACAAGGAAAACATTCCAAGAGGCTCCACCTTCGGCCGGCGATTGGACGCCATCGTGGTCTTTGCTGTCTTTCCTGAGGTTCGTGGGGCTGGTCTGCAGTGGCGCGCGCAGCAGCTTCGGCGCCAACGCGGATGCCTAGAGGGGGTTTTCGGGCGCATTGGCGCTCACAGTGTCAAGTGTCCTACAATTTATCGAGGGATAAAGCGGCGACCGCCCAATGAAGCGGGGACGCGGACATGACCGCGTGGGGTGTCGTGGTCTTGACGCCGGGGCCGTCGCGCCGTCATGGCGGCACACCCGTGACTTGGGGATCGTGAGTTCAGGGCGTCTTGGGTGCCCGTCGGGGCTTCGCAGAGAGTTTTTGCGGGGCCTCTGGACGCCACGCGTGGATCGTGAATCGGGTGCTTCTGGGAGCCTTTTGGTGGACGCTGCGCATGGCATAAGCGAAAAACCCCACATGCGCTTCTGGGGCCCAGCGGGGAGCCTCCAGAGGGGGTTTTGGAAGTAGTTTGGGGGTCCATGGAGGCATCTTGGGCCTTGTTGGAGGTACCTTTCGGGTTTTTGCTGAACCGGTTCGGGGCCTTGTTGGGCCGTCTTGGGGGGTTTGGGGCGTATTTGTGCTCCGTGGGGGCCCTCGTGGTCAATTTAAAGGACCTCCTCTGGGCCTCCTGGGGCTCCAACTGGGGCCTCTTTAGAGCCCTCCTCCTCCTTCTCCTCGTCGTCGTCGTCGTCCTCCTCCTCCTCCTCCTCCGGGGTTGCTGCGCATTTCCTTCCTGGCCGAGCCGGGGCGCGCAACTGGCACGAGGGTCGAAAGCAACCTGCAGCGTGGGGGGGGTGCGGCTTGGGGGCCGTTGCTCTGTGGACTTCGGCAGGTTCGTTTGCACTCTGAGGCCTGTAGCGCCGTAAGAACCTCCGGTGGAGTCATCCGTGGCAGGATTTGTTGTGAGATGATTTGCTTGCGAGCGACTGCCAACATCCACCGCCTGATCGACCGCAACCCCCAAACTATCGGCCACGTATCAGCCAGGGCAGCGCAACAGCACCGTCATCGGGAACGAATCCCCCACAGAGGCCCGCCACATGGAAGGGGGTCGGGTGTTGTTAGAAATGCACCCGAACCAATGTGCCCCCCAGGAGCAGCCCTTACAAGACCCGGAGGGCCCCAGGGGCCGGAACACTCGGCGAAAAGTTGCGGGCACCTTGCGCCAGGGCCTTTCTCAGGAGGGGAGAAAACACACAGACACAATTAATCGGCGATTCCCAGAAAATATAGGGAAATTTGGGAAGTGGGGGGGAAGACAAAAATCCAGAAAATATTGTAAAATATGGGGGATATTTTTATTTAATCGCTTCGCTCATTCCGCCGGCCCATACAGTCTCATGTCTGCCGTTTCCCCGAGGGCCTGGTGTCAATGCGGCGCTTTGGGGGTTCCTGGGGCCGCTTGGGGGACTCCTGGGGCGCTCGGGGGGACATTTGGGGGGCCTCCTGGGGCCGCTTGGGGGACTCTTGGGGGCCTCCTGAGGGCCTCGTGGGGGCCTCTTGGGGCCTCTGAGGGGCCTCTTGGGGCCTCGTAGGGGCTCCTTAGGGCCGAGGGCTCGAAATGTTGTTTCGTGTTCCCTCTCTGGGGCCCCTTTGGGGGCGTTCTTGGGGCCCTCTTGGACCGTGTTGGAGGCTTCTTGGGCCGTCTTCGAGCCCTCTTGGGCCATCTTGGGGCCCTCTTGGGGGCCTCTTGGGCCCTCTTGGGGCGATCTTGGGGGCCTCTTGGGCCGTCTTGGGGCGTCGGGAAGCCGAAAAGGTGGAAGCTCCAAAATCTCTCAAAAACCTAAGGAAAAACAATGAATTTTGCCTCCGGGGGCCCTCTTGGGAGTGCTCTTGGAGGCCTCTTGGGGCGTCTGGGGGCTATCTTGGGCGTCTTGGAGCGATCTTGTGGCATGTCGGACCCCTCGTGTACCATCTTGGGGGCCTCTTGGGGGCCTCTTGGCCTTTCTTGGGGCTCTCGGGGACGTCTCGGAGCCCTGTTGGTGCGCTCATGGAGCGCTCCTGGAGCGCTCTGGGGGAGTCTCCCGGGGATCGGTCGGGGATCGCCCGGGGTACTTTTCGTCCGGGGACCCCCAGGGGCCGCCGCGCACGCGCGAACTAGAGAATTGTTAACCAGTTACCGGAGATCTTAGCACGCCTCTGGCCCGTTGGGCCGGCGAATTTGTGTGTATTTAGTTGTGTGTCCCAGTTCCCCTTCACTTTCTGGCAACCTCCAAGGGGGGGAGGCGTGGCGAGGCCCATGTCGAGATCTGAACTTCGCTCAAGTCGGAACTCACTTGCACGCCCTGTCGGCCCAGCGCTGTCTGAAAAAGACGGCGGAGGGGTGGAGGAGGGGACAAACACCTGCACAAGCATGAATCAATGTTCGGAGGTCCTGCGGATTTCTCGGATCGGCTGCAGGCTCCCTGGCGTGCGGAGCGCGGCATGGGCGGCACCTGAGGCGTCCCGAGGGAGGCCCAGCGCAGATCCAAGAAGTCCGCGCGGACCTGCGAAAGTTCAGTTCAAATAGCTGCTCCTGCTTCGACGGCGGGGACAAGGGGACAATGCCTTGCAAACTTCCAGTTGTTATATTCACTCTCTCCTCTAGTACCCCGACGTAGTTTTTCGCTCCAGAGCCGTTCTTGATGGTCCCAGGGGCACTGAGAGGGTCTGGAGGAGGATGCGAAGCACATGCGGAGTAAGTCCATGAGGAGTGCTCGGCCTCCGTATGGATTTACTCCGTCTGGACTCAGCCGACCCTCATGGCGCCAACATCACAGAGCGGATTTCGTTCGGAAAACGATAGGATGGGCCCGGAGTGTCCTGGAGAATTTCGTTCCGGATTTCGAGGTGAATTTCGTTCGATCTTTTGTTTTGGCCAGGAATGAAGACTCAGAAGAATTAGCGCGAAAATCGCTTCGTTTTTCACTCGCCGTTTCGGGGCTTTGCACTGACAGAAATCCACGCAAGAATCTGCCGCAGCACATCTGCAAGGTCGGCGCAGTACCCTAACCTCATGCCCGTGAGAATAAACACTAGGGGATAATAAAGTTCGGGGTTCAGGGAGAGATAATAAAAGTAGCCCAGCAGACCTCAGCATAATCTCGAAGTAAGAGATGATCAAGAGGAGACCAAGCCGAGCACGTTTTGAGACATCCTTGGCGTTTAGTTTTCATAGAAATATCCTCAACAATGGCTTATCTCTCATGACAATTGTTTTTTGTAAGTGCTCGTGTAGGGTAGCTCATGTGCCTCAATTTCCATGGATAATCAACCCCAGAGATAAAAAAGTTCAGGCGAGCGTGGGGACAGAGAGAAATATAAAAGAAGAATAATACAGTATAATAATAATAAGAAAGAAGAAGAGGATAATAAGAAGAGGACGAAGAAAGGAAACATCCAAAGTTCCAAATCTATCAATTTTAATTTACAAACGCTTTATGAACATTGATTTTTTAAAGTGCTCGTGTAGGGTAGCTCATGTGCTTCATTTTCCATGGATAATCAACCCCAGGGATAAAAAAGTTCAGGCGAGCGTGAGGACAGATAGAAATATAAAAGAAGAAGAGGAAAGTAGACTAATAATAAGAACATTGCTCGTTTCGTTTGAGTCTGCCTCCCAAAATTATTGGTTTCGCTTGACACATCCTGAAAAAGTGTGATCGCTTCGCTTGATGTTGCTATATCAACATCGCTTGATGTTGCTATCTCAACATAGCGTTTCGAGGTGATAATGAAGTTCGGCCTCAGCGCTCGCCGCCCAATTTGAATTTTGTATAGGGCGACGATAATCAACTCTAAACACTGAAGGGGGGGGGGTCCCTTTATTATCATCGGCATGCGGTTATCCTGATAGGATGCCAGGCTTATGCTGAGTAGGTCCGCGCGGAGTGTGTTGCCTCCGTGTCTGGGTCTTCTCTGCCTGGACTTGGCCCGTCCCGGAATCGAGAAGAGCAGATCCCGGTGGAGGAGGAGGAGGGGGAGGAGGAGGAGGAGTAGAGGAGGAGGAGGAGGAGGAGGAGGAGGAGGAGGAGATCCTCTCTTTTTTCTTTCCCCTCTCCCCTCCCACATCCCGCCGTCGGTGTCCCCCCTGGCCAGTCCCGAGGGGACTGCAAAGATCAGACCGTCGGAGCTCCGGGCCCTGCGTGCCGCTCTGAACTGTCGGAGATCGTGCCGTCGGCTCCCCGGCGTCCCGTTATCGCGCCGCCGGGTCGCCAGGTCGGGGGCGGCCACAGGTCTGATGGGCCTGTTTTCCACCACCACCACCATAAGTTGGAGGGGGAGGGGGTCCTCCTCCTCCACCTCCTCCTCCTCTTCCTCCTCCTCCTCGTCCTCCTCCTCGTCCTCCTCCTTCCCACCTCCAAGTTATGGTGGTGGTGGTGGAAAACAGGCCCATCAAGGTCGGATACGACGATAGGGGCGAATAGCCCAGGGGGGAGCAATGCATGTACCCAGGGGTGCCGATAATCGATGTCTTCGACAAGGCTCCCGGGCGAATGCGTGTAATGCCCGCCCCTGGGCTATTCGCCCTCATCGTCGCCGCCGAATTGGGGAGAATAGCCCAGGGGGGAGCAATACGTGCCCAGGGGTGCCGATGATCTATGTCTTCGACGAGGCTCCCGGGCGAATACGTGTAATGCCCAGCCCTGGGCTATTCGCCCTTCTCGTCGCCGCCGAATGCCTGGGCTATTCGCCCTTGCCGTCGCCGCCGACAAAGGGGGCGGAAGAAGCACGCACACGTGCACGAGTCCGCGTTCGGTTCCGAAAGCACGCATCTCGCGAGCCTTCGCACCATGAGGCCGGCCTCGCGGCCCCAGGGGCCGTGATCATGTACGTGCTGGGCGTTGGGCGCGTACGTCTTTGCTGGGCTGCCTTAGACTAAGGGGGATGGGGTGAGCATCATGGCCTAGGCAATGAAAGCTTCCCAGATTTCACGGCGCCCTCACCAGCTGGAAGCATACCGCCATCCCTATGTTTGGCGGCACCCTACCTCTGTGCCGAGCTTAAGGATTCCCTCAGTTTCGGAGGGCACATCAGTAAGCTTGTCATCGTTTTGGTCTTGCTGATCTTTGAGCGGGTTACGGTCGAGGCTGGCTACTTTCTTACATCGATGCGTCTCCCAAGCCCCCCTTTCTTGGACGTCCCCCACAGTCATGAGCGCAGAGGCCGTCCAGTGTAGGGCGAGCCCTGGTCCTCCCCCCTCCCCCGCGCGATGCGCCGTCGAGACAGGCCGTGGCCAGCGACCCAGACGAGAAACACATCGAGTAGGAGATCGGTTACAGAGTTGATTTACCCAAGCAATTTGTTTTGCGTCGAGAGTGTGCGTATATCGGCGCGACTGTTTTGTAATTAACTGCATACTCGACTCGGCGAACATTTCAATTTTGGGGTAAGTCGGACAATGGAGCTCCGGAAGAACGCGGGCGCGAGAGCGCGGACATGCGCGCGGAAGTTTCCCGCGTGACGGCAGGTCGCGCGCAGGCGCTCTCTCCACGCGGTATATTCCGCGTTGGCGTACGATCGCCATGTCATTTCGCGCAATACACGTTTCTTGTCGTCGCCCAGTTGTTTTGAAGCCGTCCTTACCCAATGCGTTGCTTTGGGTCGCTTGGTCGCTCGACTCGGTGGCGAAATCCGAAGCACACCCTCGCCGATCAACGGTCTGGGCAACTCGCTGGGCGGCAAGAGCGGGGTTCGGGATTCGGTGAGCACGTTACGACATCGGAACCCCGGGTCACCCCCGCCTCCCATCGATTCAGGAGAATCGATGGTTGATGGGCTAACTAGGTTTCGATCATGGACCCCTTGTTTACAACAACCATACAGCACTCGCACCGAACACCGCCCGAAACCGCCCAAGACCGCCCGAAACCGCCGAAGACCGTAAGACAACCACCGAAGACCGCCAAAAACGGCCGAAGACCGCCAGAAGACCGCCGAAGACTGCCGAAGACGACCTGGGACCGAGGGGTAACATGGAGGTCCACCGGCGAGCACGCACGGGGTAGGGTTCGGATGCCGCCACCTGGCAGAAGCTTCTGGAGTCCTCGCCTCTCCTCTACTCATCTCCCTCTTCCTCCTCTTCCTCCTCCTCCACCTTCTCCTCTTCCTCCTCCTCCTCCTCCTCCCTCTCCTCCTGGGCCCCGAGGCGTCCCTCCTCGTGCCAAGGAGGCCGCAGAGAGGCGCGGAGGCTGCCGTGCGGGGCCATGCTTCCGCGTGCGCGCGCGGCCCCCAGGCTTCCAAGGGCCACGCAGGCGCGCCCAAGCGGCGGGCTGGGTGGGTGGGTGGCGGGTGGGTGCGCGTCCCTCTTCTCCGCATCCTCCTTCTCCTCCCTCCTCCCCTTCCTCCCTGCATCCCTCCCTCCCTCCTCCCTCCCCCCCTCCTCCTTCCTCCCTCCTCCCTCCTCCTTCCCTCCTTCTTCCTCCTCCTCCGCTTCATCCTCCTCCCACTCCTCCTCCTACTTCTCCTCCGCCTCCTCCTCATCCTCCACCTCTTCCTACTCCTACTCCTACACCGCCTCCCCCTCCTCCCCCTCCTCCTCATCCTCATCCTCCTCCTCATCCTCCTCTCTCCTCCTCCGCCTCCTCCTCCACCCTCCCACCCTTCCTCCCTCCCTCCCTCCCTCCCTGCTCCCTCCTCCTCCTCTGCCTCCTCCCTTTTCCTCCTCCCGTCTCCTCCTCATCCTCCTCCTTCTCCTCCACCTCCTCCTCCGCCTCGTCCTCCACCTCCTCCTCCATTTGGGCTCAAGCCAGTTTGGTTCAAGCTCGCTCGCGCCGCGGATGCCTCAGGGCTGGACCACCAAAGGGTGTGCTTACTTGAGCGCCGCCGAGGACACCAGCTTCTCGGAGGTGAACGCTGGGGATTTTTGCCACGCCTCGCTGTGTTTGGTGATGGTGGAGCTGCTCCGGAAATCCTGCTCCCGTTCTCTGGCATCTTCATGTTCAGATTGTGCCAGTTGCCAGGTAGTGTATTTCTTCGTGGTCTCGCTATTCTGGCAACTGCAGTTGGCTTTTTCGCTACGTCGTGCTTTGCCTATCCGTGTAGTATGGTTGGTCCTTGGGTTTCCCATGTCCTGCACTTGCTGGACAAGTTCCGCCCCAGGGCGGTGCCGACAGGTTCCTTCTCGTTAGGGGGCCCGCCTTGGGCGTACCGCGTCGTCTGGTTCGCCGCGTTTGCTCGTTGGGCAGCTCGGCTGGTCTGGACCTTGGTCTGGGACATCCTCCCTGCTATTCTTGGACAAGTTCCGCCCCAGGGCGTTACCGACAGGCTCCTTCTTGTTAGGGGGCTCGCCTTGGGCGTACCACATCGCTGTGCACTTCGTGTCTTTGTTGTTCGGGGTGATCTGTACTGCAATCCTCGTCGCGTTCGTGGCTGTGGAGGGTGTCGGTATTACTTCTCCCTGGCCATGCTCCTCTTCCCCACTTGCGTGGAGTATGTTACAGGGGGGCCCTTCTCCAAATCGTCGTTGGGTGACGCCTGTTCTCGTGGACGCTATGCTTCTCTGCGTGTCTGTATGCACTGGTCGTTTCAGACGTGGGCATCGTGAGCGGTTTGCTGGTACATCGTCTTTATCTTCATTATTGTGCTGGTCGCACTGAGGGGCTTGTCATTCATGCTATGGGTCGATGGCTTCTGGATGGGGTGTTCAAGATAGGCCTCGTCATTTATCCGTTCGTGTTTGGCTTTGACGTGGACGTGATGTTGTTCCTTCTTCTCCTGCTGTTCGTGGTCTCCCTCATAATCTACGTGGAGCTGGCGCTGTTCACGCCCGTATAGAGTTGAAGTCCCGCGGGGAAAAACAACTCCTCCTCCGCCTCTTCCGACTCCTACTCCTACTCCCATGCCACTTCCCCCTCCTCCTCCTCCCTCTACCTTCTCCTCATCCTCCTCCTATCCTCCTCCTCCTCCTCCTCCTGCTTCTCCGCCTCCTCCTCCTCCTCCTCCTCCTCCTCTTCTTCCTCCTCCTCCTTCGCCCTCCTCCCTTCTCCTCTTCCTCCTCCTCCTGCTCCTCCTGCCTCCTCCTGCTCCTCCTGCTCCTCCTGCTCCTCCTCCTCCTCCTCCTCCTCCTCCTCCTCCTCCTCCTCCTCCGGCGGCGCGCCCGGGTCTCTGCCGCGGCCGAAGCTCTATGGTCTGGAGCTAGTGCAACATCCCAACCCCAGGAGCAGCATTTTTTTCGGCGGTCGCCAGCCCTGGAGCTGAGGGGGTGCGCCGGCCAGTGCTTGTAGCTTCAGTTGCACGGGAGCACGGCGGGCACCGGCAGGACCCACAGTAGCCGAGCGCCGTGAGCGCCTGGGCGGCCTGCTCGCCAGCCCGCCAGCGCGCGCCGGCGCCAGCCCGCCTGCAGCCTCCCTGCGTCGAGCCGCCGCGCGCGGCCGCCGCCTCCAGGCCGCCGCGCCAGCCGGCCGCCGCCTCACCAACGCCGCCCCCAGCGGCAGCAGCAGCGCCGCGCCTTCCAGCGCCCCTGCAAGTCGAGCGTTCTGCTCCGCGGCAGCCGCGGAGCCGTCCTGCCCGCGCCTCGCCGTCGGTCCAGCGCGGCGCCGCCGCCAGCCTGGCGGGCGGTGTCAGCACGGCGTCCGCGCGCGCAGCTCGGGCGTCGCCCGCGGCGTCAGCGGCCCGCTGGGCAGCAGCGGTGCGCTCGGAGCTCAGATCCGTCAGCTGGCAGGTCATCACCCTCCGGGTTTCCCGCGCATGGCGCAGGCGGCCCAGCCCTGCGCCTGCGTCGCCGCCAGCACCACGTCGGCGGCGTTGCGCTGGAGGACGCACCCGAGCGATTAGTTTCTTCCTCGTCCTCTTCCTCCTCCCCCTCGTCCTCCTCCTCCTCCTCCTCCTCGTCCTCCTCCACCTCCTTTTCCTTCTCCTCGTCCTCCTCCCCCTCGTCATCCCCATCCCTTCCTCCTCCTCCTCCGCCTCCTCCTCCCTTCCCCTCGTCCTCTCGGTATGGGATTGTAAGAATGGGTGGATTCTTCACGCGATCGTAATGCTTCATTTCAGTGTTTGCGCTTTCCAGAACACCTTCCTCGGCCAACCCGTCCGCGCCGAGGGGCGCGGGGGCTCCGAACCCATCAAAGTTCCACTCGGCCAGCGGTGCGCGGCTGCGTTCGTCGTGGCGCTCTCCATGGACTCTTTCCTGGGAATCCCGACTGCAACCGATGGCCACGGGTGCTCCGAGCCCATCTAAGTCTCATTCGGGCAGCGTTTTTTGTTTTTTCCCCACATCCAAAGTGGGGTTCTTGTTTTGTCTGCACACGCCGCGCAGGATCTCACACACCCCCTTTCCTCTTTCTCTCTCTCTCTCACTCACCATCATCGCCATCATCATCACCATCAACCACCATCACCGTCATCACACGCACACACTCATCATCATTACCATCATCATCGCCATCAACCACCATCACCGTCATCACTAATCATCATCAGCATTTTCATCATCATCGTCACCATCATCACCATTCGATCACCCACTCATTCATTCAACTACTCACTCATCCTCAGTAGGCTTCGGAGGCAGTGGTCCTCCGACGGTAGGACCGCCGCCACTCACAACATCATCGTCACCATCTCCATCATAATTTCTCGATCACCCACTCAGTGGCCATCATCATCGTCCTCATCATCATCCTCATCATCATCAACATCATCATCATCAGCATCATCATCCTCATCATCATCATCACTCATTCACCACACACTCATCATCATCATTCGTTCACTCATCATTTCGTCATCCGGCGGGAGCCTTTGAGTGAATTGCGAGGAAGTCTCAGGCGGGAGCTCCCTATGGGGCCCGCCGATCATGTTACTAATCCGAGCGGGTCATCGGAACCTTGTAACTGTCGTCACTTTTGGGCTTCTGAGGCTTGAATATGCAGGAAGTATCAAACGGGAGCCTCGTCTGTGAGTGAATTGCGAGGAAGTCTCAGACGGGAGCCCCCTCCCTTATGGGGCCCGCAGATCATGTTATTAATCCGAGCGGGTCATCCGAACCTTATAGCTGTCGTTTTTTTTTGGCTCTTGAGGCGTGAATATGGAGGAAGTATTGGGCGGGAGCCTCGTGTCTGAGTGAATGGCGAGGAAGTCTCAGGCTGGAACCCCCTCCTTATGGGGCCCGCCGATCATGTTGTTAATCCGAGCCGGTCATCGGAACCCGGTAACAGTCGTTTTTTTGGGGCTCTTGAGGCTTGAATATGAAGGCAGTCTCGAGCGGGAGCCTCGTCTGTGAGTGAATTGCGAGGAAATCTCAGACTGGAGCCCCCTCCCTATGGGGCCCGCAGATCATGTTACTAATCCGAGCGGGTCATCGGAACCTTGTAACTGTCGTCACGCTTGGGCCTCTGAGGCTTGAATATGCAGGACATATCAGGCGGGAGCTTCGTCTGTGGGTGAATTGCGAGGAAGTCTCAGGCGGGGGCCCCCTCCCTATGGGGCCCGCAGATCATGTTACTAATCCGAGCGGGTCATCGGAACCTTGTAACCGTCGTCACTTTTGGGCTCTTGAGGCCTGAATATGGCGGGAGCTTCGTCTCTGAGTGAATTGCGAGGACGTCTCAGGCTGGAACGCCCTCCTTATGGGGCCCGCCGATCATGTTATTAATCCGAGCCGGTCATCGGAACCCGGTAATTGTCGTCTTTTTTGGGCTCTTGAGGCTTGAATATGAAGGCAGTCTCGAGCGGGAACCTCGTCTGTGAGTGAATTGCGAGGAAGTCTCAGGCGGGAGCCCCCTCCCTATGGGGCACGCACTTCACGTTCGAACCCGAGCGGGTCATCCGAGCGAGTGTTTTGGGCTCCTCAGCTCCTGCGGCCTGAACTCGGGGGAGTATCAAGGGGGAAGTTGGTCTGTGGGCGGTGCGGGCAGCCCCGTCAGAGGACCGTGTCCTGTCGTCACTTGGAGGTTTGAGGACGGATTTTAGAACTCGCTCCTGCGGCCTGAATACCGGGGAGATACCAAGCGGGAATCTCGTCTGTCAGAACTGGTCGCGGGCAAAATTGTTGTTGTCATGGGGGCGATTGAGAAGTCCGGGTAGCACCGAACGGGGTCGTCGGCAAATTCGTTGCAGTCATGCGACAGCGTGGAGGTCCGAGAGGCTCCGCCGCCCCACGGCCGCGGCGTCCGAGAGGGCGACTGAGGAGCTCACGATGACGACCACGAGACAGCGGCCGGGCGCAGGGGTAGCCCCTTGCGTCCGGGCCGGGGGTGGTAACCCATCCTCGGCCTTATCGGGGGCAGGGGTGACCCCTTGTCTCCGGGCCGCCGGTGGTAACCCGTCGGCGGCCGAATCGGGCGCAGGGGTAGCCCCGTGCGTCCGGGCCGGGGGTGGTAACCCATCCTCGGCCGAATCGGGGGCAGGGGTAACCCCTTGTCTCCGGGCTGGCGGTGTTAACCCCTCGTCAGCCGAATCGGGCGCAGGGGGGGACCCTTGCGTCCGGGACGGGGGTGGTAACCCATCCTCGGCCGAATCGGGGGCAGGGGTAACCCCTTGTCTCCGGGCTGGCGGTGGTAACCCATCGTCAGCCGAATCGAACGCAGGGGGGGACCCTTGCGTCCGGGCCGGGGGTGGTGACCCATCCTCGGCCGAATAGGGGGCAGGGGTAACCCCTTGTCTCCGGGCTGGCGGTGGTAACCCATCGTCAGCCGAATCGAGCGCAGGGGGAAACCCTTGCGTCCGGGTTGGCGGCGGTAACCCACCGTCAGCCGCCCGCAAAAAACGCCCTGCGTGTTCTTGGGTAAGGGGCCACAAACGCAATTTTCTTTTTTTGCCCGTTCTGGTTTCAATCGGTTTCTGTCACCCCCGGGGCCCGAAAAAGGCACGAGGCACGGCCCCAGGGTCCGGAAAAGCGGCGCGTCTGCGGCAGAATCTGGTCGTCGGCGTCGTCGTCGCCGTCGCCGCCGCCGTCGTCATCGTCCTCCCTCCCTCTATCATTCACGACGACGAGGGCCGTCATCATCGTCCTCATCCTCATCATCCTCATCGTCCTCATCCTCGTCGTCGTCCTCATCCTGGTCGTCCTCATCCTCGTCGTCCTCATCCTGGTCATCCCAGCCGTGGCGACGAGGAGGGTCCTGGGGGCCGAAAAGCCTCGGACCTCGACTCTCGAGCTTCAGAGTCCGATTGCTATTGGAAAAACTATATGTTTTCAACATGTTTCCTAGTTTGGGCTGGTTCTGGACATTATGAAGCCCACCGGCAGCATCGGGCTCCCGACGGACGTGAACGAGCGCCTGGGCGACGGAAAAGGGTCGTACAAGTACGCGGAGCCGCCGACGGTGGAGATCCAGCACGCCATCAGGGTCTTCTCTCAGATCCCCTGCGTCTTCGAGCTGAAGGGCACAAAGCGCTTCGAGCCGGGGGACCCTCTGATCGCGCTCTTGGGATGCATGCGCGAGGGCAAGCGCTTCCCACCAGAGGTCTGGTCTGCCTTGGAGCAGACGTTGGCCTCGGACAACCACGGCGTCCTGGAACCACGGCACCAGCGCGAGACCAGTTCGGCTACGGCATGGGCATCTACTGGGAGACGCTGGCGAGGTGGATCAACACGCGCGCTCGTCGCGACGCGCGGCGCCTCGGCGTCCCCCTCGTTTTCCTGCAGGCCGTAGACGAGTGCGGCACGATTCAAGGCGACCCAGACGCAGGCCGGCGCCTCCTGAACGTCCCGAACATGCGCAAGACGGGAGACATCCACGGCGTCTTACCGGCACACGTCGGCATGGAGGTCCGGTTCACGGCCGCGCAGGAGGAGCTGAAGAAGAAGTTGGGGCTCGTGCAGGAGCAACGGGCCACCATCGTGTCCTTCGAGTTTCACGCAGACGACGAGCGGGACTACGAGGAGCGCGCGACGGGCCAGCTCTTCCGCCCCCGCTTCCTACCACAGGGAATCTGGCTGCAGGTGCACGGCTTCCAGAAGTCCCCGATCTACAAGGAGGTCGCCGAGGTGCTGCCGCAGGGCGCCGATGGCGCTGCCGACGACGGCGAGGCCGAAGCGCGGGCGAGGAGCTTGCTCACGTTCAGGCCCAGCGAGCAGGAGCTCACGTGGCAGAGCTCGGGGGCGCACGCTGTGCGCCGCTCGGGGTTCACCCTGACGCATGCGTCCTTCCTGACCGCCGCGCTGTCGCAGGGCCCGACGCTGCGCAAGGGCGTCACCATCGACTGCGCCAGGGATGAGGACGCTGGCCGCGCGGGCATGTCGGGCGAAATGTGGCGGCTGCACCTCTACGCCATGCTCTCCCGCGCCACGCGCATGCGGAACATGCTGATCCTGCGGCCGCCCGTGCGAGAGTTGCCGGAGCGCGGGCCGCCGGCGTCGCTGCGGAAGGCGCTCCAGGAGCGCGACAAGAGAGCGGTGGATTCCAGGGCTGAGGCGGAGCAGCTCGCGGCAGTGCTGGGCTTCATGCTGCCGCCCGCCTGAGCGCCGCGGCGCGCGCCTAGAGGCCCGCGGGGTTGTCCCGACGGCTGGCCCCCGCGCCCCTGCGGCCTGCGAGGTTGCCCCGACGGCCTGGCCCGAAGGGTGCCCCGACGGCTTCGCGATCTAGCCGTCGGCAAACGCGCGCGTGCTGGCCGACGCGGCGACGGCGCCGAGGAAAATCGAGTTGCTTGCCACGACCAGGGGGAACGGGAGGTGCGCACGGAAAAGAAGCAGGAGGATGAGGAGGGGGGGGGCATGGGGGAGGGCGACGACGAGGAGGAGGTGGCGCGAGAGGACCCCATATAGCTTCGTAGGCCTATATCCTTGCATCTCTATAGCCTTAGATCGGCGAGGTCCAATAGCCTTACAGCTCTATAGCCCCATAGGCTCATAGCCCCATAGCCCTATAGCGTTGAACGGACCATGATTTGGTTATTTTTCTTCGGTGCGTTCTCAGCATTTCAACTTCCCCCGCGTTTCGGTCGTTTGCGTTGAAGGGGTGAACGTACAATCGTCGCTCACTCCTGTTGTGGTTCCTTTGGATTGGCCGTTGGCGAGGTTGTCTGTGGAGGGACAGTGTGCTGGGCCGCATCGAGCCGAATTCATATCAGTTTACCCTCTGCGATGTTTTGTGGGTTTTTGCGCCGCGGGCGTCGTCATTGTCTGGAGGGGCCCATCCGTTGTGCCATCTCGGTGTTCCACGGGCATCTGCGGGCCGTGTGCGGATTGACGTGCGTCTCCTCCTGTTGGTCGCCTCGTCGACGAGCTCAGGGCGGGGGGGGGGTGCCACACCGAACTCGCTTCGCGACTGTTGTCGTTCACTCCTCCTCCTCCTCCTCCTCCTCCTCCTCTTCCTCCTCCTCTTCCTCCTCCTCTTCCTCCGCGTCCCCCTCCTCTTCCTCTTCCGCCTCCTCCTCCTCCTCCTCCTCCTCCTCCTCCTCCTCCTCCTCCTCCTCCTCCTCCTCCTTCCCTTCTCAAGCAACTTGGGCTCGAGCGCCAAGTCCTCTCACCCCCGTGTGTGAGGCAGGTTGTTCAGTCCAGTTCCCACTGCCTCCAGTATGCCGCCCCTGTTTTTCGTGGGCGATTCTGATTGGCAAAATGTTGGAGAAACTGGCAAGGCAAAGGATACGGCACCTTTGTAGCAGCAGCCAACCCGCATGTGGTCCACGTGCCACGGCTGTCATCGGCACGAGTGGAACGACGCGCTTGCGCAGAATTCGAACAAATCTACGCGCTGCAGCAGACAGGTGAAGATATACACGCCGAAGGGTGGAGGCCCAGATGGGGCTCTGAGTGGCAAAAGAGGCAGCGGCCGCAAAGGAGGCGCAGCAGGAGGCAACCAGCTTCAGCTCGCCGTCGCGGCGCCTCCGGTCGAGGTCCTACCCCGGCATTCGGCGTCGCCAAGGACCCGCTACTTGTGGCGGCGCTCACTGCGGCCATCCAGCAGCAGGCGCAGCCCGCGCCCCCCCTTCAGACAGCAGAGGAATCTGTCAACCGGGCGGCCACCGCGTGGAAGGACGCGAACTACAAGCACGACCAGGCGGCGCAGCAAGTCAGCAGGTGCCGCGAGGCGCTCTCGCGGGCGGAGGCGACGGAGGCGGAGACCGTGAGGGTCCTCGCCGAGGCCGAGATCGCCCGCAGGACAGCGGCCAAGGCCTTGGCGGCGCAGGCGGGCTTCACTGCAATTCCCGCTGCCGAGGCAGCGGATCATGCACCCAAGGATGGCGAGCTCAAGTTTTCAATCGATTGGGACACGGACTTCTTCGACACGGTTCGATCAGGCCGGTGCGAGTGTGAGGGCACTGAGAAGGAGATCCGTCTCAAGCTCGAGGCCGACCTGCAGGCAACCAAGGAGGATCTCACGGTCAAGAGCAAGTCCATCACGAACTGGCGGGATAAGGTGAAGGCCGCGCAGGCGGCAGTCACCGCCCGCCACGCCAGGAAACGCAGGGCCGAGGGAGGTGGTGCGGCGGAGGCCCCTCCCGCAGGCCCTGCGCCCGCGGCGGCGGCGAGCCAGGTCCCTGCGGCAGCTGGCAGCAGCTCCGCGGGGTCGGCCGCGGCGGCGTCGGCCCCTACGGGCGAGACCGACGCCGCCACCCGCCAGCGCACCGAGGCGATCGAGGCGGAGGTGCAGCGCATCAGGATGGCCAAGGAGGCGGCAGCGGCGGCGGCGGCGCAGGCAGCGCAGGCCGCGGCCAACACCATGGCTGGCGCAGCCGATCAGGGCGCCGCCCAGGGCCCCCAGGCCGCGACGCCAGCGTGATCATCACAGGGGGCCAGCTGTGCCCCCAACAGGCTCGCGAGGGCGCCCTCGCCTCGTATAGCATGTTCAGTCTCAAAGGGCCAGCAGGGGTCATCGCCGACGAGCACATCGTCGACGGAGCAGCTGAGTTCGGCGGGTTCTTTCTCACCGCCCACGAGTTCTAAGGTGCAGGGGCCCAAAGCCTCAGAAAGGGGGCGCCAAGCCCACCACCTGCATCATCTCGTTCGATGCGATCGTCAGCTGATTTAAGTGGGGAGTCAGCGTCAGCGGTCACAGATGTTCTTCAGTAGCGTCACTTTCCTCGGTCGAAGGGCGCGGGATTATATTTGCCACCTCCGACCGGACAGAAAGTATTCCAGCACATCGCCATTTGCGAGACGCACATCGGAGACAGCACAGATGCAGATTGGAAGAGAAAAGAACGTCTCGCCAAAGTTCGCTGTCATGCGAATGCAGCAAGACCCACTGGGCGTCGGCGTTTCACTGCCTCGGGGCAATCGCGCGCTACGGAAGGTGGCGAACCCTTCCTGTCCGAAGGCCATCGTCAAACACATGCCTTGTTTCAACACAGCAGTGAGTTGTCTCAGTTCTGCTCGGAGGGTTTGAGCATGCTCGGCGGATTCCCCCCCATTGTTGAGAGTCGTCGGGACCACCTCAGGGCCTTGTGGAAGCCACCTGGGACTACCCCAGGGGGTCTGTGGAGGCCAGCTGGGATTACCTGGGGAGGGATGTCTGTGCAAAAGCCGGCGCCTGACCATCCCGTCTCCCCCTTGCTAACGAAAACGGCAGCCGAATACTTGAATTATGTCTTGTAGATTTCGTGGCCCGTTTTCGTTTCGATTTCGCTTGGCAGCAATTACAGAACGGAGGCAGCACTATGGAAAATTAGCGCAACACGAAAACGGAAGCCACATTTTAGGTCGAGCCTTGTCGAACGCCGAAGACGCCTCCCGCCGCCGTCGTCGCCGGCGCCGCCGGCGCCGCAGTCGTCGTCGTCGACGACGCCGCCGACGCCCTCGCTGCCGCCCTCGCCGCCGCCGCCGCCGTCCCGCCGCCGTCGCCGCCGTCTGCGTCCCCGCCGCCGCCGCCGCCGCCGCCGCCGCCCTCGCCGCCGTCCCGCCGCCGTCGCCGCGGCGAGGGGCGCCGGGCGGCGCGCTCTGGTCGTGCTGCGCGGGCGGGGACTTCTCGTAGCGTCGTTTGAGCGCCCCGTGCGCCGGGGGCCACCGCGTGCGCGCGCGAGAGCCTTCGCGTTCGGAGGCGGCGGTCGGGGGGAAACAGGCCAGGGTCTGGCGTTGCACGCAGTCGCCTGGAAGCCCCGCCGAAAGTTTAGACAATCGGCTCCCTTGGATACACGTACTGATGGGCCAGTTTTCCACCACCACCACCATAAGTTGGAGGGGGAGGGAGGTGGAGGACGAGGAGGAGGAGGAGGAGGAGGAGGAGGAGGAGGAGGAGGAGGAGAAGGACCCCCTCCCCCTCCAACTCATGGTGGTGGGGGAAATTGTGCCCATCACGTATGGCTCCCCCTGGAATATATCCGCCTTCACCGTCGACCCCGATTCGCGCGCCTCGGCGAAGGCGGCGGCGACCCGCCCGGAGGGAGTCGGGTCATGAGGTGTGTTGTGCCAGCTTTTGGATTTCCCTGGGCCTCCCACAGGCCCCGGGAGAAGCGGTTCAGGGTGAAATCTTGGTCCAGGGGAGTATGTCAGGGCCCCAGGACCAACGACCCGTTTGCCTCTCATGATTTGCTCTTTCCATGCCAAGACGGCGGCGGCGTTTCTGGCGGCGGCGGCGGCGCCCTGCGGCTGCATATGGCGGCGACGGTGGCGGCGTTGGCGGCGTTGGCGGCGGCGGCGCCGTGCGTGGATGGAAGCATGTCCAGAAGTTGCTTCGCACGCAAGGAGTGTGTTTTGTTCGCGGATGCCCAGTGCGGAAGCGTATCCGTGCGACCGCGTATCCATGGGATCGCGCCCGCGGAGTCCAGACCGCGACGGCGTGGATCGACAGCGACGAGCAAAGACGACGACGACGATGACGACGAGAGCGGCGACGAAGACGACGACGAAGACGACGACGACGAAGACGACGACGGGGAAGACGACGACGAAGACGACGATTCACGCCGACGAGGCTCGCCGCAAGGCCCGTGGTAGCACCGTGGGTGGGCTGTAGGCGCCCTTTGTCCGACCAGGCCCCTGCCCCCTGAAGGCGGGCGCCCCCCCCCAGACGCCGCCTCGCCCCGGGCCTCTCTGGAGACGGCCACAGGACGGCAGGGAGAGCTCCTGCACCGCACCCGGCCTGAGTTTGCGCCCGGGGTCCCTCGTCTGCCTTATGCGCGCGCGTGCATCCCCATCCCCTTCGAGACCCCCACCACATTGCCACCCCAGTTGGGGATACACCCCTCGAAACCCGATGGGAACGACCTATATCCCAATCTAGGGGGGTAAATCGGTTGCACTGCAGCACGCAGGTGTCACCAGTACCACCACCAGTGCCACCACAAGCATCAACATACCAGTGCCACCACAAGTGCCACCGCCAGTGCCACCACCAGAGCCGTTCACAAGTGACCCACCACCAGTACCACCACCAGTACTACTTTCCTGAAGCAAGAGTGCTGTCTGGAACCAGGCGTCTCCAGAGTTTTCCTGGATCACGCTTAGGGATCCAGACAGGGCTCTAATCGCATCGGCGTGGGGTTGCTAATGAGCTTTAGAGGATACGAGTGGATGCTAAGGTCGATGATTTCTCTCCTGGAGATGAATGGGTCACAAGTGCCATGATCGGCTGAAGGGAGTTAACGATACGGACTAAACGGTCTTGGCTAAGCAGGCTCCGCCCATTTCGCGGAGTTATCTGACACCCTACGCCATTTGAGGTTCGTGAGAGGCATCCATCTTTGGCATCCCACCATTCCTTTTAGCACCCCCAGGCCAACGAGTGTCAAACACCTGCCGCCGTAATGTTTGTTCCCGACGCGAGGAATCGGGGTTCCGTCCGACCCCTAGGCCCCCCACGGCTCAGAGGGTCGCCGACGGGCTGGACTGGCTCAGAACCCGATTCCATGTCATTATTCTCACTCACGACATGTACACTCACTGGTGTATTGTTGCTGCCAGTTTCGGCTGACCTGGGCGGCATCGGGATCCTCCCCCTTTGCGGAGGAGGCGGGAGCAGAGTGGAGTGTTGCCCCACAATGCCAGCTCGCCCTAGCCACTCGCGAAGCGGTCAAAAGTAGAGGATGAGGACGCAGATGACCGTCGTTCTGGTTACCTTTCAAACCAGGAAGGCAGGGGTAAGGCAGTTGCACTTCCCCTTTTTCGAATATATACCGACGCCGCCTTCGGCGAGTCACCGCCGCCCCATGCCTTTTTGGACGAGCCTGTATGTCCGAAAGTTGCGGCGAGAGCTTGGTCTAGCTATCGGAGCGTGGTTTCCTCGAGTCGGTTTGGACAGCCTTCGTGGAACGAGTGATGTACCAAGAGGAGGAGGATCAGGGGAGGGAGGAGGACAATGATTACGTAGGAGGAGATCGAGGATTAAGATTAGGGTGAGGGTGATGGGGGAGGAGGAGGAGGAGGAGGAGGAGGAGGAGGAGGAGGAGGAGGAGGAGGAGGAAGAGGAGGAGGAGGAGGAGGAGAAGGAGGAGGCTGCAGGAGGAGGAGTAGGAGGAGGAGACTCCATGGGAACCTCTTGGGAGGCCTCTTGGGAAACCTCCTGGGAGGCCTCATAGCTCCCTGGGGGCCTTCTGGAGGCCTCTTGAAAGCCTCCCTGGGCCTCTCGGGAGCCTCTTGGGGGCCTTTGGGGGCCTCTCGGGGGGGCCTCTTTGGTAGTCTTGGGGCGTTCCTTGTCCTTCTCACGCCCGTCGGGCCGGGGCCTCCCTGAACCGACTTCGGGCCCTCTTGGAGCGCTTCGGGGTAGTCTTGGAGACCATCTTGGACACCTTGGAGGCCGTCTTGGGACCGTCTTGGGGCCGTCTCGGGGCCCTCTTGGGCGGTGATGGGGCCATCTTGGAGGCCTCGTGGGCGATCCTGGAACGATCTCGGGGGCCTCCTGTGCCGTCTTGGGCCGTCGGAAATTCGAAGCGGCGCAAAAGTCGACATCGTTAGAACACCGATGGGACATCAATGTTTTTGACCTCTTGCGGCCTTCCCGGAGAAGCTCTTGAAGGCTTCGTGGGCCGTCTCGAGGTTGACTGAGGCCGTCTTGGGTGCATCTTGGGCCATCTTGGGCGGATCGTGCGGCCATCTTAGCCGTCTTGCGGGCCATCTTGGCCATCTCGGAGACATCTTGGAGACATCTTGGAGGTCATCTTGAGCCATCCTGGTGGTCTTGACAGCCATCTTGAGCCGTCTTGGGGGAATGCAGGGGGAGAACTCTGCGCCGTTCGGGTGGCTGGCGCGCTGGGCCGAGGCCCCAGGGGAAGTTCTATTGGAAAGGAACCGAAACCAAAAGCGGTAGGGTCCAGAACGCCAGGCCACCCTGTGATGAATCAACAGGGGGCGGCGGCCACCGTGCCTGGGATGTGCGTCAGGGTGCGCAGGGATGCTTCTTCGGGTCTCTTCGGGGCGCTCTCGGGGGCTTTGTGGGGGCACTTTCGGGGCGCTCTCGGCAGCCTCTTGGAGGCCGCGTGGGGCCTCTTGGGGGCCTCCTGGGGGGGGGGCCCTCGGAGCCGAGGGCTCGAAGGGTCTGTTCGGTGTCGGGTCGATCCGGGTAAGCAGCGCGTGCTGGGGGCGTCGCACATCGGTTCGGGCGGTGTTGTGCACTGCGAGCGGAGGAGGGAGGGGAGGAGCGCCAGAGGTGGGCCTGCGGGAAACAGCAGCACACCAACGGGCACCAGCAGAGCATCGGGCACCAGCAGGCCTTCTTCAACCGCACTGGCGCCCACGGCGCCTCCCAGCACAACCACTTCCTCATCCTGGAGGGCGCCCACCTGAACGGCGAGTTCATCATCGCCGTCGCCCCCTCGGGTGGTGAGCGTGCCGCCTTCCTTAGGTGGAGGAGGCTGGCGGCCACCGAGGGGGGCAAGATCATCGTGTTCGGCTCCCACAGGGAGTACCTCTTCTGAGAGGGGGGGAGGAGGTGGCCCCCCCCTCGGGACGGCTGCGTCCGACAGGACATCGAGCCGATAGCGATAGCGATAGCGATAGCCAGAGGTGGGCCGCGGAGCCCGCGGGCGGCTGGGCCCCGCGTGTGCACCCCGTGTCGTCCTCTGAAGCCGAGGCTGTGGCGCTCGAGGGCGCCATGCAGTTCGCGTCCGAACTGTGTGGCCTCATGATGTTTCCAATCTGCTGTAGCCTGTAGCCTCGATCACCACAGTGATGAAATTGGAGCACGGTGAACATTACGAGTCTGGAGGGTTTCCGCGTGTCGGGCCCTGGACGGCGACAATTGCGCGTTCGGCACCGCGCCAGCGTGTCGGGCAGACATTGTTTCGATACTTCTCTCGGTGCTCGAAACTATTTCTGGGATGTGGACCTTCTGCACGAAGGGGCCAACATAACATTGGTAGGCTTTTCTATTGTTTCGCCGATTGGCGCGTCGGCCAAGCGCCAGAAAAGGAAAAGGTACTTATACCGCTACCCTTCCCTCCATTCCGCCGTTTTGGGCCGCCTGGGAAACCCTCGTCGCCACCGCTGGATTCGCTTCAAATTCTATGCCAGAACGCATCCCAAGAGTGGTCGGGGGAGTGGCACCTTTCGATATCCTTTTTCACATTGGTCGGCCAAGCATTCCCGAACTTCTGTTTGTAAATCATCGCTGATCATAACGGGAGTTGTGGTACCGGGCTGTCTTTCGTGCTCTTGGCCTGTCAGGGTAGATGATCAGAGGCGTCGGAAAGAAAGAAATAGGAGAGAAGGAAGGGGGCATGGGGGAGGGGGACCCTCCGAACCTCGCCAGCCACCAAACCTCCTCAGCACAATCCGACGGCCCCGTTGTGCCCTCCATTCCCAGTGGGAGTGGAGGGGGGCGTCGGGGAACATTGAGAACACACACGTGTGGAACCCGTAGCTCCCCCCCCATCTGAAATCCGGGTCTTCGCGTCAGGCTGCGGTGGTCTTGGCATGTAGTCACAACCCCGGACCTCGAACCTCCCCCCCATGACCCTCCCAGAGGAGGAGGGGGGGGGAAGGGGAGGAGGAGGAGGAGGAGGAGGAGGAGGAGGAGGAGGAGGAGGAGGAGGAGGAGGAGGAGGAGGAGGAGGAAAAGGAGGAGGAAGAGGAGGAGGAGGAGGAGGAGAAGGCCAGGCGGGCGGCCCCCTGCGCCCTCCCACCCCGCCCCCCGCCCACTGCGGGCGGGCCGACTCCGACCGGGCGGCGCGGCCCGCGGCGGGAAGCAGCAAGAGAAGCGCGGGCGCGCGCGCACGCGCGGGCGGGCGGGCGGGCGGGCGGAGGAGGGCCTGGTCTCGGGTCGGACGGGAGGGGGGGAGCATCAACAGGTCACGCAGTGGCGAAGCGTCGTGGCTTGCGTTACAGGCCCACCTGGGATGTTCTTAGATCGTTGTGTGGTTTGCACGAGAACTTCTTAGACCATTCTGGCTGAGACCGTCTTGTTTTAACACATCGGCTTCATGTTCTAAGCACGATGCTTTTGCTATTAGAGCAGTCTTCGATTCTAACAGCATTTCGCGGTATGCCTATTGGAATGCCTGAACGGTCGGTCCCTGCTCAAGGGGGGGGGACCATCATCAAGGAGCCCTCGGACGTTTTCGTCGACTCCTGGAGGTTTCCCTGCCTCCGGATGCGTTTTTCAGCAGCTGCGCTTGGCCGAGAGACGTCCCAGAGGGTGCCCGGATCGTCCCTAGGGCCTGCGGAGACCCGAGTCGAATGACCCGAAAGCCAGACGACGAGGATCATTGCTGGGGATAGGCTCAGGCCTAGGCCTCCCAGATGGGGTCGGAGATGATGGGGTCGGAGTATCGCGCCGCATCGCCGATGCACCGCCGATGCGGCTCGGTGTGAAGCCCGATTCGCTTCACGTCGACGAGGCCGACGCATCGCCGTCGTCGACGATGCATCGCCACGATTCTCGATTTCTCCTCACCCGAATGTGTCCTCGTCTTTCTGGCAGCCGCCCTCCCGCAACCCTTGCCACCGTGGTTTCCATGGCCGCCCACCGCGCTCTGGCCCTGCGCGCCTTGCTGCTGCTGCCCCCCCCGCTGCTCATCGTCAAACTCTTCGACGTCTGAGCGTCCCTTTTTCATCTCGGCCGTCCCCCACACCTCTTTGCCCGCCGGCCAAATCGCTAGCCAGTGCCCATTTCTAGCTTCTCGCTGGAGCGGAGTTCGCCGCCTCGCCTCTGACCGAAAAATGTGTCTTCGTCCTTGGTTGGTCTTAGACGAAAATGTCCGGGATGGCCCAGTCCAGAACGGCGGCCCTGGTCGGGGTTTGCTGGAAGTTCCCGGCCGCTGCGGCCAGGGCCGTCCCTCCTCCCTCCCTCCTCCTCCTCCTCCTCCTCCTCCCTCCCTCCCTCCTCCTCCTCCTCCTCCTCCTCCTCCTCCTCCTCCTCCTCCTCCTCCTCCTTCTCCTCCTCCTCCTCCTCCTCCTCCCTCCTCCCTCCTCCTCCCTCCCTCCTCCCCCTGCTCCTCCTCCTCCCCGGGAGACGGGCGAGGCTGGACCCCGGCAGGGGTCCAGGCATCCAGGGCCGTTTTCTGTCGGCGGAGTAGGTCCATGCGGGGTGCTCGGCCTCCGTGTGGGCCTCCTCCGTCTGGACCTAGCGCCTCTCGGGGATGGCAAAGGTCAGAGCCCCGAATCATCAGGGGTAACTCGGGTCAGGGCTAACTCGGGTTCGCTTTTCGGGATTCCGAACCCGAGTTACCCCGGGCCCGAGTTACCCCGGATAATTCGGGCGCCCAGAGCCCCAAATCATCAGGGGTAACTCGGGTCAGGGCTAACTCGGGTTCGTTTTTCGCGAATCCAAACCCGCGTTACCCCGGACCCGAGTTACCCCGGATAATTCGGGCGCCCAATCTCGGGGATGGCAAAGGGGGGTGCGATGATGAAGGGGCGGTGGATCCATGATGTTTCCCCAGATCTCACGGCGCCTCTTCCTATGTCATTACGTCCCCAGCCCCCCCCCCTCCTGACTCGAAGAGAAAGTTCGCACATGAACATCAACTTTCGAAGCTCCGCGCCGATTTCTCGGATCTGCGCGGGGGCTCCCTGGCGGCGCCTCCGGCTCCGCCCCTGGCGCGCTCCGAGCGCCGGGGAGGGGGTCCAGCGCAGATCCAAGAAATCTGCGCGGACCGTCGACACTTTAATGTTTATGTGTGTGTGTGTGCGTGTGTGTGTGTGTGTGTGTGTGTGTGTGTGTGTGTGTGTGTGTGTGTGTGTGTGTGTGTCTTCCTCTATCGATGGGAGGCTAAGTCCGTACGGGGCAGGTCCATGCGGAGTGCTCGGTCTCCGTGGGGCTTCACTCGTCTGGGTTTTGCCCCTCCTGAGAGTGATCCGGGCGGGAAAGCGGAGAGGAGAGAAAAGTACTGATATTATGTACTGTTCCCTTGAAATTCTGGTCAGAACGCGCCCCAGCGAGGTCCGAGGAGTGGCAGCATCGGTACCTTTTGGATTCCCACAGAGCCGCCGTTATCTCAGATGCTTGGGACACCATGTCGCTTGGTCGGCCAAGGAGCCAATGAGATCGGCGACGGAATTCGGTGTGTATCGGGGGCCCCCGAACGAAGCGGCGACCTCACGGTGAGTTTGTGGGGATCCGTGTTTTTTTTACATTTTAGTCGGTTGGTTAGGGTGTTCTCGCCTCGGGATGTGTTCCAGCAGCTGCGCGTTGCCGAGAGTGTTCCAAGCTATGGCTGGCCTGTGTGGTGAGTCAGTGGGGAATCGGGGCGGCCGCGCGGTTTGGGGTTCCGGGCCGTTCTCCGAGGACGTCTCGTTCGACTATTGCTTCCAGGGCCCCAAGACGATGCGGTGACGGACCGCGCGGTGAGGTCCGTCGCGGTCTGTCACCACACGGCTTCGGTCATTAAGCATCAGATCACCCCTGACCCAAGTAGCACAAGGGATTCGTGGCCTCATTGTGGTCCGCAGTTTCGCAATGATATCAGTGATCAGATGGGTGGTCTCGTCTGACACATGTGCAAGACAATTAGCCTTTATCCATACAATGGGGGCGCGCTTCAAGAAACCAGATGCTTTTCGTCAGGGTATCCTGGGTTTCTTCGCTCACCGCGCTGCGCGGTGACTGCCCGCAGCCGCCGAACGAGCTGCTGCGTTCAGGGTGCTCCAGGTTTCCCCTCAGGTGCACCTCGCGCACGGGTTCTCAGGGTTGGGTTTCTTGCGAGGGTTTCTTGCGGCCGCGCCCGCACTGTACTCTGCTTGGCCCTGCTAGTCACCACCAACCAAGCCACCCCACCCCAACCCAGCCCGAAGGCCCTAATCTGCCATCCTTCCCCCGTGGGTAGGGAGGGGGGGGGCGTCGGGGAACAGTGAGCAAACACATGTCGAACATGCCCCCCCCCCAGCCCGAAATTTGAGTCTTTGGGTTGGGTTGGGGTGATCTGGTAGGTAGTCACTAACTTGGGTCCGTTTGGTGGTTTGGTTTGGTTTGGTAGGGGTCCGTTTCTCGCTGAACATCTGGGAACCCCAGAACTGGCCGTACTCCGAGCGGTGGCGGCGGCGGCGGCGATGGAACCGGCGGGGGCAACGGGCAACGGCGCGCTCCGCGCAGCGCCGCGCAGCGCAGCGCGGCGCTGCCTCCGCCGGGCTCTGTCCCGGCCGCCCCGGCTGCGCCCGCAACCGGCGGCGGGCGCGGATGGACGTCGACAGCGACAGCGATTGCGTCATCTCTTCAGAGGAGAAGCCCAGGGTTCGGGGCGATCGAAATGGGCACGGAGAGAATCACCACCCGCCAAACCACCCCAACCCAACCCGAAGGCCTCAATCTGCCCTCCATCTGGGGGGGGTCGGGGACATCGAAAAATGAAAATTCACACGTGAGGCCCGTACCTCCCAACCCGAAATTCGGGTCCTCTGGTTGGGTTGGGGGGGTTTGGTAGGTAGTGAAGAACGATTAGAAAGACTGTCAGCAGTTCCTGCTCATGTTGAGCAGGACTCG